ATATACATATATATGTATATATTATATATATATATATGACAGAAAGAGAGAGAGAGACAAACAGACAAACAGGCTTGACTTCTAAGAAAAGGAACAACAGGTACAAAGGTGAGTCAGTGTGAATAGCCTGTACATCAGAGCGTATGCCTATGGGTTGACAGCTTGAATTAAGATGGACTAAGAAATTCTAGCACCACATGTATTGGGAGACAGTAAACTGATTAGGTCTGGGTGAGGGTATGAGGGGTGTCAGAGTATAGAACACACAAGCCAGCAATGGATGTCAAAATGATGTTTCATAGTATCTGATTCAACTGCTATGCAAATCAATATGTAATTTCAACACGGAGAAAGCTATTCTATTAAGAAATATGACTAACTTGTAACACTATTGTCGTATTTGCAACTGGGATTGGAAGCAGAGATCACATATTTACCAGGAACTAGTTCTAATAATACTTGGAAATGATGAGCTACCTTATAACTGCAAACTCATATGTAGAGATAAATAGGTTGCCCTGTCTTGTTAGTTTTTGAGAATAGTTAGTATATAAGTGGCAATGCAGAGAAAAAAACAGCGCTTACTAGATGTTATATAAAACATTTATTGGGCCAGGGATTTAGCTCAGTGGTTTCACCGCCTGCTTCGCAAGCACAAGGACCCGAGTTCAATCCCTGGTACCAAAAAAAAAAAATTTATTGAATTTCCATTATGTGAAAGAAATAACTACAGTCTGTGACTATGACTTCTACATCTAAAAATATTTTAAAGAGACCAATTACTAAAATCACGTGCAATTGTAGATTTGTTGATAGGCCTACAATATAATATTTATTATGTGATATATCAGTGGTGTACATATAATTCTCAGCTTATATCATTCATTTCTTTTAATGTTATTTAAGTTTAAACCTAGTTTTGTTTCCCATGTATTCATTAATGTAGTATATATTAAATGTATCTTTAAGCTATTTATGCCATGGTTACTCCAACCTGAATTTCTAATGTATTCCACCAGAATGGCTTGCTACTCAGAGTTTCTCTTTCTCCCTCCTCTTTTCCTTAATTTAATTTCTTAGTTTCACAAACTAATAATGTCTGTGAGTCAGTGTATATACCAATACCAAGAAATAGTAATGCAGTGTGGTTGTTTTGGTTTGTTTTTCTATGGCAAAGAAATTTTCTCATCTCAAAACCCAGAAATGACAACAGCATGTACCTCACAGGACCATGTTGAGTTAATATGTATGAGGTACTTAGATTCCTGGCTGTCGCTTTTTAATCTCTACATAGGTGTTGGTGGTTGGAACTACTATTATAGTTATTTCCTTGTTTTAGAGCAAGGTAAGCTGTTATTCACATAATAGTGTTTTCTAGGTTTTCATATCTCAAGCAATTATTTTTCTTCAGTGCTTTTGAAAGAAATATGAAAACTCATTGCACATCATGGAAATCTCTGTCATGATTTAGATATAGATGTTCCCCAAATGGCCCGTGCATTCAGAGGTGGGCTTTGGAAGGTGATCGGATTTTGAGGGCACTACATCTGGCTTGTTTTCAGGAGAATGGGGCCTGGTTAGAGGCAGTTTACTGAGGGTGTGACCTGGAAGGGGATATCTCATGCCAGGTTCTAACCTTGGCTCTCTCCAGTCCCTGACCACCACAATGAAGGAAGCTTTCCTCCACACCACGCCCTTCCACCATGCTTTTTCTGTATTTGAACCTGACGGCCATGGACCGTTAACTTCAGAAACTGTGAGCCAAAATAAACTCCTCCTTTAAGATGTGGCTGTCAAGTATTGTGTCTCAGCCATTAGGAAAGTAATTAAAACACCTATACTCTAAATTTTCAGTGCTGAAGAAACTTTTGATACCATTTTGTTCCCTCACATTGGATGCCTAGATATTCAATTGTTACATGGAAATTTCTATGTAAAATTTAACTGACATATTTATTTTCTCAAAAGTAAAATATGAGAGGTCCATAAGGCATTCTTTTTAGTATACAATAAAGGCTAATATTGTACTACATATTTATCAACCAAAGTAACTCAGGGTTTTGTGCAATTTGGGGCTTTTATTTTTGAGATGATATCTCCTGGTAATGTTAATAATCAGTTTAGGTCCTCAAATCTGAATTTTATCTTTAAAAGTCAGAGAATTCTTTGGGAAATACTTAGGGGTGAATACCAAGAACAGATGGTAAAATCATAAGAATCTAGTCCAGATGTGTAATTTGTATTATTTTGTAGGTGGACACAGTTCCAAAATACTTTCAGTTACAAGGGAGGATAATTATGATTGCATCCCCTTTGTGACGTGCCAAGATAAATGCGTTTTGCAATCACCAAGGTATGTGTGCCCAGGTGTGCCGCAACACACAGCTTTCTGGCAGTAGGTGAAATGACTCATCAGTCAAAGCTACAACACCTTTTACTATCCTCCTCCACTTAGGCAATAAAATTTTCCTGAAATTGTGACCTAATGAGAAAGGTGGTAATTAATTTGCCTCATTGAAAATAGCAGTGTGCTTTAAAATACGTAGAATGCAGAGTAAAGTTTCAAAACCTTTCATTTTGAGAAATCTTTCAAGTTACCTCATATTATTCTGTGAAATAATTTCACAGCTGCTTCTATAGATATGCCTTATAGAATATTTCCTTAAGTGTTGCAGCAAGTGTGAGGGAAACTTGGACAAAATCTCTGTTTATATAATTGTATTCATCATATTGAGGTATTTTGGCATGGCTTTTCTTGTAATGGTTTCCTCTTTATGAGTAGCTTTGAGTTTATGGAAGTAAGAATCTTTCAAATATAATAATTTCTATTGTAATAACATAAAGGTATTGCTTTTAATAATTACTGCATGCTGACTGGCTCCACAAATGAATCTGTTAGAATAAGAATAGTATTTTGAGGGATATGAATGTCTACAGTTTGAACCATGAAGGTCATAGAATTCCAAGGAATACCTGATTTTTAAAATGTTACTGTCCCATAACATGACATGCAAAATAATAATGGCTAATAATACATACATAAAAATCAAAGTGTTTTCACAAATATAATGAATTTCACCTTATGTCATTACTTGTGTGGGGAATATATAATCTGTCATTGTTCAAAAAGTTACACAATGCAGCAAACATATCACTGAGATGTATAACGTTTGTAATCCTATTCTTAGATTGATAAATCATGTCTTGTGTTGATGAAAGCTAAAAAATGAATTGCTTTGCTTTGACCTTGGGGTCTGACATTAGTCAGTTTGTCTATTAGACTTGTTCCCATGTTCTTCTCACTCCATTTATTCCTTCTGTTCTGAAGAGTTGGAAATAGTAGACTTAGAGGAAGTCAGGAAACCTTGCTATCATTAGTCATTTCTGAAGAACAGGTTATCAACATGCTCTGAATAATCAACTTTAATAGAAGGTTTAAATAATCAGAGTGTCATGTTTAATTAATACTTTACCTGCTTCCAATTTATATTAATTGATGCCTCAAAGTCATCACATCTTGTACAATGATAACTTAGAAGAAGAGAAACTTGGTTTGGGAAAAATGTCCAGACATCTTTAAGGCAATGTGATCCATCAGATTGGTTTACAAGGGCCCCCAAACAATCAAGTTGTTTGCATTCATTTGCGATGTCATAGTCCTGCATTTTTAGT